ATGGGCTACATCTCTGTGTGGGGTATGTTCCAAACCTAAACCCCACCTTGTAGCTTATGCTCCCTTTGCAAACCCAGCTCTGTTGTAATCAAAGAGCCCACATTTCAAATCTTGTGTGCTGGAAAACTTGATGCCCCTTCCCACATCTGTGAGGAGGAATTTGTTTATCGAATAGAGCAAAGAGGTCTGTAAAATACCATCAGGGCATAGGAGGCCGGGAGGGCTCTAAAGTGTGGCACTTTATTGAGGCCCAGGCCATGAGACTCCTTGGGCCTGCCTGTGATGTCACTCACCGCAGTTTTACACAGCTAGAACACCATGGACACCTCATTGTGTGTGAGTTCACAGTAAAGCCCAATGAGCTAATGCAAAGCTGTGCTCATCTCTCCTACTCCCTGGCAGCTGGAGAAGATGCCCCTGGTGAAGAAGACGGAGTTCCAACCTGATGAGGTCACCATCTACGTGGAGGAGGTGAGCAGTGCAGGCTCTGTCTGGTCAACAAGGAGTAGGCGGGTGCATGGGAGACAACTGGACTGCACAGGGGGTATGTCTACACTACAAAGTTAGTTCGAACTAACGGACGTTAGTTTGAACTAACTTTCATAGGCGCTACACTAGCGCGCCGTTAGTTCGAATTTAATTCAAACTAATGGAGCGCTTAGTTCGAACTAGGTAAACCTCATTTCACGAGGACTAAGCCTAGTTCGAACTAGCTAGTTCGAATTAAGGGCTGTGTAGCCCCTTAATTCGAACTAGTGGGAGGCTAGCCCTCCCCAGGTTTCCCTGGTGGCCACTCTGGCCAACACCAGGGAAACTCGTCTGCCCCCCTCCCGGCCCCGAACCCCTTAAAGGGGCACGGGCTGGCTACGGTGCCCATGCCAGGTGCAAGCCTGCCAGCACCCAGCCAGCAGACCCTGCACCTGGCACAGCTCGAGCCACCCACCCGATGCCCCCCAGCCCTCCCCCTCTTCCCGAGACCAGGCTGGCGGCTCCCAGGAGCTTGCCCGGGACCGCAAGAGGTGGGCACCCACCTGGGCTAGTGCGGACATCGTGGACCTCGTCCACGACCTCCACACTAGGCAAAGGAAAGTGGCCGGCTAGGGCAGGAGAGCTGCCAGTCTGGCCACCCAGGAACAGGTGTGCATGAAAATCAAGGGGGTCCAGTGAGACCCCCAACCCTGAGCCCTGAGCTTACAATGGCCGTCCTGGGTCAGACCAAAGGTCCATCTAGCCCAGTAGCCTGTCTGCCAACAGCGGCCAACCCTAGGGACCCTGGAGGGGATGGACCGAAGACAGTGACCAAGCCATTTGTCTCGTGCCATCCCTCTCCAGCCTTCCACAAACCTTGGGCAGGGACACCACTCCTACCCCCTGACTAATACCACTCCATGAACCCAACCTCCATGATTTGATCTCACTTCTCTTTAAACTCTGTTCTAGTTCTAGCCTTCACAGCCTCCTGCAGCAAGGAGTTCCACAGGTTGACTCTTTGCTTTGTGAAGAACAACTTTCTGTTATTAGTTTGGAGCCTGCTACCCATTCCTTTCCTTTGGTGTCCTCTAGTCCTTCTTTATGGGAACTAATGAAGAACTTTTCTGTATGCACCCTCTCCACCCAACTCCTGCTTTTAGAGACCTCTATCCTGTCCCCCCTCCATCTCCTCTTTTCTAAGCTGAGAAGTCCCAGTCTCTTTAGCCTCTGTTCATATGGGACCTGTTCCCAACCCCTGATCATTGTAGTTGCCCTCCCCTCTCCCAGCCTCTCTCTTCCCCTCTCCCACCTCCTTTTCCCAGTCTCCCCCAGTTTTGTTCAATAAAGACAGATTCTATTTTTGAACACAATTGTCCTTTATTTTGTACATCAGGAAGGGGGGCTAGGGAAGGGTAAATGGAAGGAGGTGAGGGAGGAATGGGGTACGAGCCCCCTATGGGGAGGACTGGGCTGGCTCTGTGGGATTCTGGGGGTGGAACCTCTCCTGCAGCCCCTCAATTGCCCCCTCTCCCCAGATGGCAGCCTGCGGCAAGTGCAGCCGGTCTGATGGCCGAGTGCTGTGATGTGCCCAGTGTGGGCATTCTGGGCACTCCAAGCCAGGACTGGTTTGCAAGCGGGGCACCCCTGAGAACTGTCTGTCCGGGGTGGGGGTCGGGACCCTTTAAGCGCAGCCCTCGGCTAGCCTGAGACAGCATCTCCACGCTCTAAGTCCTCCTCTGATGCCCTGCCGGCACTGCTTCCGGCCATCCTTAAGCCTGGTTCAGGGTCCGCTCTGTGTGGACATGCTAGTTCGAATTAGCAAAACGCTAATTCGAACTAGTTTTTTAGTCTAGATCCGTTAGTTCGAATTAGCTTAGTTCGAATTAACTAATTCGAACTAAGTTAGTTCGAATTAATGTTGTAGTGTAGACTTACCCAGGCTGGAGGTACAGTTGGGGTAAAGGGCATGCAGGAGAGTGAATGGGAGACAGGACACTCATGAGACAGTGGCATTTCTTGGGGAGGAAGGGGATACAAATTCCCCATCCCCATCACTGTCCTGCCCTAGCTGGACAAGTCTCCTCTCAACTTCACCATCTCCATGAAACAAGAAATTGAAGTGCAGAACCTGAAGCCAGCAACAGTGACGGTCTATGATTACTATCAGCCAGGTAGGATCTCACTGTCAGAGGGGTAAGTCATGAACCTCTCCTCTCCTCACTCAGGCTATGTCTACACTACACTTCTTTTTTGGAAAAGGGTATTCAAATTGCTCTCCGCAATCTGTGTGCCTTTTTCCCATTCTTTTTTCGGAAGAGGCTTTTCTGAAATTTTTTCCTCATGAGACGAGTTTTATAGGGCTTCTGAAAAAGCACGTCTGCTCTTCCAAAATTTTTTTTGGAAGAGCAGATGCATTCCCTGGACACTGCAGAGTTTTTCCGGGATACCTTGGTATTGTGGCCCCCACAGACAACCTTCCAGACTTGACTTGCATAATGCCTCAATCATGCTGCTTTTGTGATGTGGTCCTCCACATCTACACTCAATATATTTGTGAGCCTAGTCTGTCTCTCAACACAGGTCTCTGTAGAAATGGGGCATCTTAGTTAACCTGCTCTATTATCTCTAGGGGTATGTCTACATTAGCCCCCTACTTCGAACTAGGGTGGCTAATGTAGGCATTCGAACTTGCAAATGAAGCCTGGGATTTAAATATCCCGGGCTTCATTTGCATGTTCCTGGGCGGCCGACATTTTTAAATCCCCTTAGTTCGAACTGACTGCCCGTGGCTACACATGGCAGTCAGAAGTTAATCCAAACTAAGGACTTAAATCCTGGGCTTCATTTGCAAGTTCGAATGCCTACATTAGCCACCCTAGTTTGAACTTGGGGGCTAGTGTAGACATACCGTAGCTTCTTAGGGCTCTTGTTTAATGAGACAGGAATGGGACTTTACCCCAGCTATATATTTAAAGGGGTCTTTAATTCCATAAACCCTGACCAATCAGGAGGCAGAATTTGAGTTTGTCCCTCATGAGTAGACACCTCAGTGGCCATTGGTTATTCTCCTTTCCCAAGAGATGTTGGGAAGACGCTTGTCCTGCTATCTAGGCACTGAAGAGAATGTGGTAGGGAACTGAAGTCACTAGGTATTGCTGTTCTAAAGAGGAGCAAGCTTGTGCTCTTGTGTGTTTCTGCATTTCACAACAAAGTCTTCTCCCTCACACAGGTGACAGTGCGATTACAGAATACAACTCCCCCTGCAGCTCAGGTAGGTGTGGCATGGACACACCCTTCTGGGGGCAGTATAGCGAGGGGAAGAGCAGGGGACTGGAACTAGAACAGATGTGTGCTGTGCTTTTCTCTGCCATGGACTTGTTGGGTGACACTGGACACATCACTGCATCTCCTGCTGCTCGGTTTCCCTGTGTGATGGGTGCCCTAGGGATGAAAAGCTCCACATCTCATTCCTGATGCCCCTAACCATTCAGTCCTCTTTATGGAGGATTGAATTTCAACCAGTGATGGAGCGGTTATGGAATCCGTGTCCAAGCCCCTGAGGCCTGGTTATTGGGCTGGGTCTGAACATGCCACCTAGAGATGAAAGACTGTGTTCCCAATTTTCAACCCACTTTAACCTTGCAGTCCCATCCCATCTTAGCCCAGCACTGGAACTGACCGCGTGGACATTAGTGAACATAAGAACCTAAGAATGGATGTACTGGGTCAGACCAACGGTCCATCTAGCCCAGTATCCTGTCTGCCGACAGTGACCAATGCCAGGTGCCCCAGAGGGAGTGAACACAGTGTTATCTCATTCCCTGAGCCCTTTAATCCAGCATCATGGATGTTTTAATTCTTTCGTTCTGCAGATGTCCAGGAGGATTCCCAATAAAGCCCCTGGGAGCTAGGTCCTTGGGCATCACAGCTGGTAGTGGAAGAATTTCTCAGGTTTGGCCTCCTTTTCCTGCAAGGCTCTTTTCTGTTCCCTTTTGTGCTCGCTCCTTCTTTCAATCTACACCCATCTTCTAAGGAGGAGATCTGGCTTGAGGTGCAAGAGTATGGATCTGGACTGTAACCCAGGAAAGCCAAAGTAATGAATCAGGACATACAAAGAGGAGAACAAAACCATTGGGGTTTATAGCCAGATCTGATCCACCTGCTGGAAGCAAGGAGGCAAGAAAGGAGGAGGAAGAGCTGGAGAAAATGGTCTACTCAAGATGTGCTGAGAGCTCTGTGATCTCTTTCGTGCCTTGGTTTCTTCCTTTTAATGGGATTTCTTTAGGAATCATGGAAAGGTCGGACCTGCAGAGTTCAGTTGTGGATCCTGACCCATCCAAAGCACCAGGGAGTTTGCTTCCATGGTTTTGGTTCAATCCCTATTGTGTATTAAAAGCCAAATGAATCAAGTGTAGTAATGAGTCCTGTGTGCCTGTGGAACAGATGTCTCCTGGCCCTTGTCTCAGCGTTTCTTTTCCTAAAGCAAATAAAAAATCTTCATCTCTACAAGGTTCTGGTTTTTGTTTTAAATCATAGCACCAGGAAAAGATGCCAGATTGACAGCCTAGGTTACTAATGGCTGAGCAGCAGGGTCAGCTTCCCCCACCTGCATACTCTCCTGGGTCGCCAGCATGCTTCACTATGTCCAGATAACAGGCAGTTCGGTATTCATGGTCTAACCAGCACTGCTAAGACAAACCAGTAAACAAAAGGCTAATAACCTCATGGTGGTTCTTGGGGGCTCTTGTCCCATTAGGAACTGCACTGGGAAAGTCTATCAAACACCATAACATTTATATCATTTACACATTCAGTTAACTCCGGTCATCTGAAGAAGTGGGCTGTGCCCACAAAAGCTCATGATAATATCTACATGTTGTGTTAGTCTATAAAGTACTGCCAGACCATTTGTTGTTTTTTTTCTGTAACAGACTAACTTGGCTACCCCCTGAAGTTCTAATGACAGTTTTTCTCACAATTCTGGTCCACCCGAACACATTCAACTAACAGCAGAGTCTGATGAAGGGCAGGACTCAGGGGTACTGGTAGGGCTGTGAGGGGAGCCCAGGGCTGGAATAGCAGGGGGCTGCAGGGCAGGGCTGTGGAAGGGAGGGGGCAGCGCAGAATAGGAAGCAAAGCTGCAGATCAGGTTTGAGGGGTGCTGGCAGCTTTTGGAACCATCTGGAATGGCCATATCAGCAAGAGTCTCTGCTTGGCCTCCACCCATCAGCAAGGGGACTCTGTTGCAGCAGCATTTTACTGCAGTAGCCTTTTCCAGTCCATAACATCATGTCAGAAAGGGAAACTCAGCCACATCTAAGAATTGTTGGTAGCCACTATCATGCAGAATTTTAGCTATTGGTCTATCTCCTCTCTCCTACTTGGACCCTTAGATCCTGTGCAATAGTGCTCACTCTGCCTAACCATTAGGTGACACCTGTGGGAAGCAGACCCCCTGCATAGACACCTAGCAAGATTTACGCAGCCCCTTAGTGAAAGGCAAACTCTGCAAACATTTGCATGACCCTCCCTCCCCGAATACAGGGCCCCACCCCATGGAAGCTGGGGGAAGACCCCCATTTGAATTGCTCAATAGGAGCTATGAAATTGGCACCTGGGGCGGGGGCAGCACATGGAGCATCCCAGTGTCTAGCATTTGCAGGGGTCTGGAAACCCTAGGACTGTCCCCTGCTGTGCTGCCAGCCAGACTTTTAATCCCCTGATAAGCTGGGCCAACTGGAGCAGTCAGTGTTCCTTTCTGATTAGGCAGTTCCATTCGGAAACCAGACACCTAGCAACCCTGGCGATGGCGTGAGCAGCACAAGGGCTTAGGCACTGCTCTCATCCAGAGTTCCTGAGCCTCCGAGCAGCAGACCTCACATAGGCAAGAGCTCTACATGGAGCGGCCTCTTTGGTCCCATGGGAGCAGCTCTTGGGAATGGATATGAGGAATGACAAGGGGCTGACACTGTCATGTGGTTCGATTTTTAGATCCAAGGGAAACCAGGACACACCACAGAGACTGAACTACTTTCTTATTTATTGCAAGTTTTAAGCAGTTAACATAGTTGGTTAAGTTTTACAAGCCTTAAAACCAATTGCTACACAATTTAAACCTTAAATACTATAAATTCTAAAGCAATTAATAAAGCGCAAAGCAACACAAAAGCATTTTCTAAAAGATCTATTATTATACAATAATAAAGCCTAATTCACTTACTCTTCAGCGTGTAGTCAACCTGTGGAACTCCTTGCCAGAGGAGGCTGTGAAGTCTAGGACTATAATAGAGTTTAGAAAGAAGCTAGATAATTTCATGGAGGTTAGGTCCATAAAAGGCTATTAGCCAGGGGATAAAATGGTGTCCTTGGCCTCTGTTTGTCAGAGGCTGGAGAGAGATGGCAGGAGACAAATCGCTTGATCATTGTCTTCATGGCTGACAGATATGTGGTTTGTGGAATGTAACCGAAAAGCGATGTTGAACACCAGGAGGGCCTTCACCACAGCTGATGCCGGAGAATCTAGGCGGTCCCGATGATGTTGGGTCGGCTATCAGGTAGCTAGGGTTCACAATACTGGGCTTTCACCACAGTGTGGGCTGAAGCACCCTGAAAGTGGCAGGAGTAGAACCAGGCAGGTTAGATTGGGCCTTCACCACGGTCTCCTCTGTGACATAACTCCTCCTTCTCCATGTGTAGTGAGAAACTGCCAACTAGATCTTCTCAGGCTTCTAGGTTTTATGGAATCTAAGGCAGGAAATTCCCATGGTCTTGAGTGCAAAGCAGGGCGTGGTGCTGTGTGCAAACACATGGTGCTGGGTGCAGACGACTGGTGCGGTGTGCATGGACATGTGCCGTGTGCAAAGGGTGTTTTTGGCAGCAAAAGTCCTCACAGTCTGTTGGGTTCCATTTTAAAGTCCCATCATGCACCACAACTCCATTTTGGATTGTTCTTTTAGATTCAGTCTCCATTTTGTTTCAGTGCATTTCTTAACAGCAACAAATTCCCACTAACAAGTGAGGGTTACAGGAGTTGGAGTAAGACGTCCTCCAGCTTGACATTATGTTGAAAGAAAGGCTTGCTGTGTAGATGCGCTCTTTGTTATTTCAGAATAACGCCAGTTATTTCAAAACAACACTGCTGTGTAGACATAGCCTTAGTGACTTGACTTTGTTACAACAGGGATTGGGGGAGCACCATAGATTTGAGCCAAGGAACGGAGAAGCCAGCAGCATATTTATAACTGTGGCATTGACTCACTGCAGGGCCCCCAGCTCAAGTCACCTGACCGTGGTCTATCAAGACGGGGTAAACAACCAGGAGTCCCAGCAAGGACATGCAGACTGCCTTTGTGCCAGCTTCCCTGGGCCAGGCATTGTGCAGGGCGTTCTGCAACCCTTTCATTCTCGTGCCCACATGGGGGGGGGGGAGGGAGGAGGCACATGACCCAGACGAGTGCCAACCCCTCCCTGCATGACTCTCAGCACCTTCCGTCCTGCACAGCACTGAGATGGGCTCCATGGTGTAAACCTACAGCCTGAGGCGAGAAATGAATGAGAGCAGTTAGAGTGATTACTAGAACTGGGTCCAGAATCTTGGTTACTGAGGAGGGTTTGTAATGCTGAGAAGAGACCCCTCCAGTGGGACAGGGGGGTTAATGGAGAGCAAACTCAGAAGCAGATTTTACTGTTATCTTCCCAATGCAGATGTTACAAGTGGAGATTGCAAGGGCAAGTGTGATTCCTGTTAGCCCTCTCCCCCATGCAGAGCCCTGGGCCAGCGTTACACCTTGGAGAAGCAGAAGCCAGACTAACTCTTGTGTGTGGGGAAGAGGAACAGTGATGATCGCAGAGACTTCAGACACAAGGGGAAGGAGAAAGATTTTTGGATATGGTCTGGTGTGGGTTTAATCCATGGAAAAGATTGGATAGTCCTATGGGTCTCGTCCTGCCTGTCTGTCACCTCAAAATCAGCTGCTTTTTACTCAGACAAATTCTCATCTCAGTATCCTTGGCCATTCTAAAGAAGTTTTGGATAGAACTGAGGAGAAGTTACTGGACTAGGAGGAAGCCTGCGGGACAGGATTGAGGGGCATTGGCAGGACTGTGTGGGAAGGACTGGAGAAGCAGGAGCAGGGGGATTCAGGTCAGGATTCAAATTAGTTTAGTAATTAAGCAGATTTTTCCCTTCGGTGTGCCAGCAGTAATGCTGTCAGCCCAAGAACCTTGCTCAACTCCACTGCCCTTTTGTTATAGCATGGGTTGCTGTCTCTTTGAGATGTCTTCTCGCTATAACTAGAGGTCATAGGTGACACGGCAGCAATTGTGCTCCTAAGCAACGTTCTTAGTAAGTAGTGGATGGCATTATAAAGACTTCTGGCCATTTGAAATGGGCATCTACCATAACCATGCAAAATCAACGTGAATACGTTGCCACAGTTTTTCAGGACAGTCCCATGGGTGTAGAGGTGTAGAGGTGCCAACCAGGGGCTGCCCATGGATGTAGACAACCTCGGCAGTTGCCTAGGGCACTGCATTAAACGTAGCACCCAATGATGATGTCAGGCCATTGAGTGCTATGGAAGCAGGGGCGCCAATCACGCATTCCGCCTAGGGCGCCAGTTGCCGGCAGCTCTCCTTGAGTCGCTCCTGGTGCCAACTGAGGTGCATTCCTCACATCCTAGCTTGAAATACAAGCTCTTGCTCTCTCTTCAACGGCATTGTCCAAGCCAGGCTACCAAAAATAGCTTTGTGCAATTTCTTTCATGCACACCCTTCCACAGTGACCTGAATGCAGTTGTTCTAATGTCTGTCATCTCAGTATCTTTGGAATAATGACCTGCATTCCCCACAACAAGCACCCAGAATGGATCGATAACTCCATCCTCCTGGACATGTAGGGAACAAGGTCGGGTGAGACCTGAGAGTCCCGTAGAAATGTTCCATGCATCAATAGGTCCATAACTTGGGACAGTACCGGGCCAACAACACAAGTTGCTCTCTTAACTTGCGCAGAAGGGATGGGCATGTTCTCTACCTGTTCAAAGTAGAAGATTTCCTTCTGGCCATTATCTCGATGTTTGACTGGCAAAGGCAGCCTAGAGAAACTGTCTGCATTGCCATGCAGGGTAGATTTCGAATATCTGCTCTCATCAATGGGGGCCCCTTCTCTGTGAGCCTGGCTAGCTCTGTCGGTAGAGCATCAGACTTTTGGGGACTGAACTTGATGACCTCTCGTGGTCCCTTCCAGGCCTAGTATTCTATGATTCTATGATTTGCATGTCCCAAAAGCCAGTGGGGAAGTGGCCAGCACAGCAGGTCGGGCTCCTAGGCGGGGGACTATGGGCCTGCATTTGCCACAGAGCCTCCTGTCCCCCCAAGAGCTGGATCTACTGGCTGCTTCCAAGGAGCAGTGTGATGCTGCAGGACAGGCAGGCTCTAGGCAGCCTGACTTAGTACCACTGATCTGCTGGGCCACCTGGGTAAGCCCAAACACCAAAACCTCTGCCCCA